TTCTCATTCTCTTCATTGACCCAACTGCAGGCTTTAGAACAGCTCTCACTCAGTGCCAGCAGCTCCCCAGCGTGTCTGAATGAAAAGCTCGGGAGCAGCAGGAGCAGGGGCAAAAGATGAGCAGCAATTCAGTGCCCATCGAGTATTGCTACCCAGCAAAACTGCTCTGTGATGGAAGCCAAGAGCTCAATCCCACTGCTTGTGTCTGAGCATAAAATTGAGATAAAGTCTGTACTTACTGTGTCAGGAATTGTTTTGACATAGTTTTTCCAATTTAAATGTTCTAGAATACGTCAAAAGCTCTTCACAATAATATTATACCAGAAAAGCTAAAGCCAAGTTCCCTAAAAACTCACAGCTCAAGTCAACCACACTTTTGAAAAGCAAGCAGCAGAGATCCAGTGCTGAGCATGGTCCTGCTAAGCACACTTTGCAGGAAAGCAACTTGGCTCTTTGCAAAGTCTAATTTGCAAAAGTTTTAACAGCAAACTGTTGATAGTTTGAACTGAGGAATGTAAATCTGTAGAACATTCTGAGGATAGACTGTTTTTCTGTAATGACAAGGCTGCTGCCTCTAATAAAAAGCATGCTGCAGTGTCACAAGGCACTTGTTTGAGATGCTCAAAGCAGAACGTGTCTTGCAGGAGCCAGGTCGTGGTTGCAGCAGGGAGGGGCTGCATGGAGAGGTCTGCAGTTGGGTACCAGGCTTCTGAGCCTTGCTGCTGCTGGGCTGGCAGCTCAGCTGATAGGATTGGTGTGGAAATGTTGGGATTTCAGCTGTGGCTCTGCACTGGCAGATGTTTCTGCAGTTGTGCAACCTGGTCTGTCCTGCTGCCACCTTTGCCCTGTGTCTCACGCCCAGGGGACACCACCTCTGTTGGCTTAGACTGACATGGAACTGCAGCTTTTGGAAAAAGCTTTTCATTTACTTGTGTCTTTGAAAGCTTACTTATCAATGAGCACCAAGAAACCATTGTCTGAAACAAACTTTTCAAAACAGTGATGGCAATTTAAGCTCCAAATTATATATCTATATATATAAAGTTAGTTCAGACATCTTCCTCAGCTCCTTTTGTGTCTTCAGTTACAAAGCTGATGAAATTGTTTGTGTTTTTTTCAATTTCTGAATTAATTTGCTCTTGTGTAAAACCTCAGCCCCTGGCATTTATGAGAGGGGTGTCTGATATGATTCCCCTGTGTTCCCTCCCCTAGTGTTTGGGAGCAGTGATTAAAGAATTGGTGCCCTCTGCTGTTAATGATTTCCCAGCCCGGGTGACCCTGGGGCTTTATTTAGCACGAGGAACTGTCGAATTTATTTCTGGACCATTTTTCTTTTGTGGATGGTCATTCTCCTGGGAGAACAAGTGGAGGAATGGGGCGAATCTGGCAGCTTCCCTCGGGGTGGTGGTGCCATCCTGCACTGGGACAGCCCTGCCCCAGGGGTGCCAACACTTCTCCATCTGCATTTTGGCAGCCCATGTCTCCCTCCATGTTCAGGCTCTAGGTTAAGCCTTAATTTAAAACATCGAATAATACATATTCAAGGAGTTGGTGAAGCAAGCAGCTGCAAGGCAAACAAGATTTTTTCCATATGGTGTCATATAGACCAAATGGAAATGTGCAACAATTGTCACAAAACGCTTGGTATTGCTCAATTCAAGTGTTTTTGAGAAAGCAGATGGATCACAACAGTCATTTCAAGGTTTTTTCTGAAAGCATGGTGAATGCTCCTTGAAGTGTGAAAAATATTATGCTAAAGCAAACATTAGTAATAAAATTAGTTAAAATATAATTTACAAAATGTCAAGTATACTTCATCATGGGTAAAGATCTTGAAAGGCCTAAATGAGTGTGTAGTCCTGGTTTCTTCACATCAGCTTTTATGACTTGGGTATCTTTTCACAATTTCTTAGGTTTCTTTTTAGATTTAATTGCAAAACTGAATATGTTAACAGATGGTTAAATTGTCTAATGGGAACATTATTCATTCTCCCAAATGAAGAACGGAGGTTGTAGGAGTGAATTCTATTTTGTGACTAAGACCTGGATTCAAGATGCAGACAATTTTTTGTACTTCAGATATTAACCAGTTTGGGATTTGTCCCTTTAAACTCCCTTGGTTCAGGTGCTCGTTTGGGAAGTCATTCCTTTCCTGTTTGTATCCAAATTAAAAATGGTAATATACAATGTTCTCGTCCTTGAGTGGAGCTTTACATGGCTTCTGCAGGTGCTGAAGTCCAAGTAAATTTTATAAAACAGCAATGTGAGCTCAGTTAAAAAAAAAAAGCAACAGCATGAAAGTGAAGAGAAGGTCAAGTGTGTGATTGTTAGCCCTAGAAAATGAGCTTTAGTGGGAGCTCAAGCTCCCTGGGCTCACAGGCTGTGCAGGAATGGGTGCCCCAGCACACCACGATGTGCCTGGGCAGTGGAGTGAAAATTCTGTTCAGTTCAGGAGTCACCCAGCTGAGCATTGTTCATTCTGCCTGGGCTCATCTGGGAGTTGATTTGATTTCTGTGGTGGGAGTGAGATTCCTGACCATAACGATGAAGAACATGGCAAAGGAATGCTTAATTATAATAAATCTATGTAAACACACCTCAGTTTACTTCTCATGGGCAGCTTAAGTGATTTGGAAGGTTTTGGAAGGTTTTATTACAACACAAGTTAGAAAAAGGTATAGAAAAGTAGGCTTGCTGTGGGTTTTGTATTAAAAGTTGATGCAATCACCAGAAGTAATTTAGTTCTGTGAATGTGACATTATTGCTGCTGTAGCCTGCATTGTTTGCATGGGGAGGCAGTGATTTCTGCATCAAGAAATGTGATCTACGAGTATCTTTGTACTATTTTCATGTGCAAGATTGCTATTACTCTAAATATTGGCTGAGACCTTTTGAGATGGAAGAATTGTCTGGTGCAGTTGCATTAGTATATGCTATTATTTTTGTGTGCTTTACTGTCATGATCTGTCTGTGTTTATGAAAGTAGCCAGATACACAGAGTAAAACTGGGAAGAGTGAACAGAAAATGATATTAATTATTGATAGACTGGAAAGACTGTTTGAAAGGGAGAAGCTCTATCACTTAAATCTTCTGAGTAAAGAATTAAATCAGTCAGTAGGAAATAGTTCTTTGGTTATAGATGCTGAAGAAATTCTGTGTTTTGTGTTGATATAACTGGGAGAGAGATGATTTACAGCTGTCTTAAATTGTATGTGCATTTATACATATAAATGTTAATTTGATATTCCTTATCTGCAAGTGTTTCCTCAGAGATTTTTGTGAAGCCTTTTCCCCTGGGCTGCTCCTGCAAACAGGGGCTCAGTGTCTTTAACAAGCCAGGAAAAGATAGAGATTTTCCTGTCTTGTGTTGCTGTGGCTGTCTCATAGATGGCTGAAAGAATAATGCTGGAGGACTACAGAATCTGCAATATCTTACATTTCCTTCTAGGGAGGTAAACTACTTTTTGGGTTGTGTTCTGAAATCAGCCTGGAAGTGCAGTTTCTTTGTTAGTACAAGAGATTGTCAAAATTGTGTGAGGATCTGCAGGTACAGAAGTGCCTCCAGCTACTTGCAGTGTGTCTCCTACCTGTTCAATGTGCTGCTTATCTCGAGTGGCTGCTGGCAGCAGTGGAGCTCGTGCACCAGAAGGATATCTGGGAAAAGTGCTTGCAAGGTCTGAAAAAAATGCAGTGTGCTGTCTTGTTTTAGTATTCTGTATTTTGCCCAGACGAGTTGGAGTGACAAATGCAATATAAGTGTAGAGATGGGGGAGATGATCCTGTTCCAGCTTCTGGCAGAGATTGACAGTGCTGAAAGGAGAAAGGGAAAAAAAGTTCTTGTAAAGTAGCTCCTAAAATGCATATGGAGTTTAAAGAACTTCTTGCTTGCCTGGCTGTCTCTGGGTTGAAAACAGGATTAGGTGTCACTTAATTATTCTCTGTAATCTCAATTAAAAGCTTTATTTACTGGAGTGCTAAGTGGACATGTTAGTTTTGATTTCAAGATGCTAAATCCCATACTCAGTCCAGGTGAGGAGAATACAGGAGAGGTGTAAGGAAGGGCCTTGAGTTGTGATGGTTTGGAAGATGAAAGGTTGGTGTCAACATCTGCACGTGCAGATGTGTGTCCTGGTTTGCTCAGGTGGATTTGTTCAGAGCAGCACATCTGGATTTGTGACCAGAGCAGCAGGGACAGAAGGAGCCCCAGTGCCTCAGCTTTTGCTGAGCAGCCCTTGGCAGTCTCCAGCATTTCTGCTTCCTGTGAGCTCCCCACTGGAGCAGGGTGGCTGGTCTGGAGGTGAGGACACAGCCAGGACAGCTCATCCACAGTGCCCAAAGACATTCCCAAACCTGTCACATCATGCTGGGCACTAAGGGCAGGGCTGCAGGGTGGAGAGGAGTTTATTTCCAAATTCACAACCTAGGTAGGCATTGGCCTGCTGGTGCCAAGTGATGGCTTTTTTTATTTGTTTTTCTTTTTTCCCCAGCGGTTATTACATGGTCTTTATATCTTAACCAGCAAGTTTTTCTTGCTTTTGTATTTCTGATTGGCTACATGATGGTGCTGGGAGGGAATGAACAGGTGGCTGTGTGGGGTCTGACCTGACCAGGGTCAGTCCTCTGCAATGTCCCATGTACTCTGAATTCTTCTCAAATTCTGTCCCCCCATGAGTTCTAGACCTTAACTCCTATTTGTGACTCCTTTGTGTCAATCGAGCCAAGTTCATGAACCAAATGCTCCTTGATAAAATGATGGTTGATACTGGTGTGCAGCACGAGTGGCTTTTTTGGCCATGAGCAGAAATGTAAGGTCGGTGATTGGTGTCAGGATTTTCCTGCTTAGGAAGAAGTGACGAGGGAGGGAGGGAGGGAGGTTTGTGCATCACCAGTTCCCACATTTCAGCCACTCCATCATCCACAGGCTGGCCTGGCTCAGTGTCCAGCTGGCAGAGGGTGCCCAGGGGTGGGCACAGGGCTCAGTGCAGGAGTCCGAGTTTGTTGTGGAAACCCTTCAGCCAGAGCTGGCTGCTCCTTTGGGCAGCAGCACTGCAGCACTCGCATTCAATTCCACACTCGGGACAAGCATGCAAGCTTCCTTTTTCACAGAAAAGGCAGGAGATCCCATTCCCTTTGCCTGCAGATTTTTTAGAACACTTAGGGAAATTTAAAATGCTTTTTAATGTTCAAATACATGAAATAGAGTTCTTTATTCTGAAGCAGTAGGTAACACTGTCTTTTTTTCTTTGATTTGTGTGTGTTGTTTTTCCGTTTTTTTTTTTAATAGAATATTCAAATAAAAACTTTGGCAGATGATGTGGTAAGGTCTTTGTAGCATCTTAATTTGCAATGGTAACTCCACGCTGCATGCTACTCTACTCAATGTTGTGGACAAAATAACATTCTTATAAGGATATTAAGCAGTAGATTCCAGAAAATTGAGTGACTATTCCTAAAGATCTTAATTTGTGACTTCAGTTGAAGACGATTAATCATGATTTCTATTTGGAGGAACTTCCTTAAGCACATTTTAAATACTTTGGTAATAATACTGTGGCTGTGTTGAAACTGTTACTCAACAGTTGAAGTGTTATTTCTCTTGACCAGTAAATGATCTGCACTGCTTCTTCAAAGCTGCTTGCCACATGATGAAAGTGGAACCCTTTTGGGTAATAAATGTGTACTGAATGCCAAAGTTTGTATTCAGTAGCATTAATTTGATAAAGCTGAATTCTTTGAAACTGGTTCCAAAGTATTTTTTTTTAGGAACTGATATTAAAATTGATTTCATTAAAATGACAGCCTTGTATTTTATATATATATATGAAATAAAGGCAGACTGGTTGTTTAGTTAATGATTGCCTACACATCTGAAATGAGGAAATGATGCCTGGTAATCACACAGGAGATTCCTTTGTGTCTTTTGAGTGATCTCACCAGTGCAATCTCATTGAACAAATTTGTTGTTAATAAGTTATGCTTGAACCAGATCACTGTGTGGTGAAATTGGATCTTAAATGACTTTTTGTGACTGTTGAATGGTCAACATAAAATGGCATTTGTCTAAATTTGGATACTGCCTCTCAGGCACTGGCTTATCCTTGGCCTTTTCACCAGGCTATGCCCTAATTTTAGTTTCCAAAAATGTAGCTTAAACTCTTCTAATAAGGTAGAAAATGAATTAAAGAAATATTCTTGCTTTGTCACAGACATTAACAATATCCTTGTAGGGATTGTGCTTCTGTCCACAAATATAAAAATACCTAAGGAAGAAAACACCCCTATCACCCCTCACTCAAAAACAAAAAAAAAGCTCAAAAAGTTCCAAGGGAATGCAGCTTATCTGGGGACACTTTCTTTCAGAAATTAAAGATAATCCTGTGAGATCTCAAAAATAACAACAAAAGCAATGAACAACAAAAAAAGAATAAAAAGAAACAAAACAACAGAAAAAATCTTTCTTCTCCATACTGCACAGCTCTTGTTCTAGTGTGTCCACTCTGGACTCACTAATCTAAAATGAATCAATTTTTTTTTCCAAACCAAGTACTCCATCAGACATTTCACACCTCAGAGAGGTCATTTAATAGTAGCCAATATAAATTTCAGTTTATCTGTTTTGGTGGAGATGACAGCAATGCTCTGAATGATCCTGGTAACCCTACATAAGCTGCTGTTAGAGGAAAGCACATCTTCATAAGGCCTGAAACAAATACTGGAATATTTGTGGATGCAAACAGTTCTTGGAGGAAAATTAATATATGTTTGATGTCCAAATGAATATATATGTGTATATATAATAAAATGACTGTTATTAAATAAAAAAATTATTAGAGATGCAGTGTTCTATGTTATAAATACAAAAGAAAATGGCCTTATAAGGAAGGTGCTGGTTATTTGCAATATTAACCCAGTAACTGAGCATGCTTGCAGCCCAGGAGGTGGGAGTGGTGCCAGCCCTAACAGAGACAGCCCTGGCAGTGTGTGCTGTGTGTTTAACCATGGGGGGTTCTGCTGTGGGAGCAATCCATCACCTGCCTTTCTAAAGCTCAGCACTAATTCCAGCACTTCCTACTCAAAAAAAAAAAAAAAAAACAACAACTCTTTGAGGAGTTAGGAACTATGCTTGGAGCATTAATTCCTCTACAAACTTGATTTTACTTTAGCAGGATTGTTTGATAAGCCTGATGAACTTGTGAGTACCTCCTTCCCAACACTGCCTTTTTCAGTTGTCCTCCAAAGACTTGGAGCTCTTCACTGAAGGGACATTGGCCATTACCTTTGTGGTACCGTATCAATTCCCTATCAGGATAATTAGAGAGTCACAGGAGAAGATGAGCTGAAGATTTTGAAGTGCTAAGAGTTTAACCTAGCTGGTGCAATTTTGGATTAGTGGGAAATATTTAAATCCCTTTTGCATGTGACCTGTCATGAGTTTACCTTATATGTTAGTGTCTTTCTGTGCCAAGGAATCTCTGAATATTAGAGTATTTTTACTTACAGTTCAGTTTAACTCTGCTGCTTGAATTCACTAAAACCATATGCACTGCTGCCATGTCATTGGCTGCTTGTCTCCATTTCTATTTCTGCTTATTTTTTGAATGTCTTTGCAGCGTGACAGAATCACAAGCTTCAGAAAGTCAGCAGTGAAAAAAGAGAAGCCTCTCATTCAGCATCCCATTGACTCCCAGCCTTCCATCAGTGAGATCCCACATGCCCAGGCCCTCGTTGATGAGCGCTGCATGAACTTATCAGAAAAAGAAGTTATGGATCTCTTTGAAAAAATGATGGTAAGATGTGGCTATGGGGCAGAGCTGTCCTGCTGCACTGAACAGTGGAGCTGTGAATGTCTGTTGAGGCATTGGATTAATGATAATTAACTCTTGCTTGATTTGCTTGTTAAGAGATTAGTTTTGAACTTTTCCAAGTGGTGTTAATTGAAGCAGACAATGGATGTCTCACAGACACCAAGAGCTCTGTGATAAGGCTGTTCACCAGGAATTAGTGCAGGAACATTGACTGCTCTTAGGTGCCAGTCTGAAGTGACTTTGAGTTTTAATGGCAAGCCTAGTCATGACTAGTAATGACTGCATTGTATTTAATATGTTAAGTTTAAAGCAATGTCTTAATAGATTTAACCTGGCAGAGCATTTTGACTTTTAAACTTGTTTTAAATACATCAGTTGGAACAGTTTGACCTCTACCCTTTCCACAAGTTACTAATCCATGTAATAACAACCTTCTGATTAGATAGTGCAGGAATGGTGTCCACTGTGAGAAGATTTCACTGAAAACACAGGAACATGACAAGATGGACACTTAACTATCAACTTGAGATGTAGAATTGTTGTGCTTGTCCTCTAGTTCTACTTCTTGAGCCAAATTTCACAAATCTTAACTACCCCTGATGCAATTTAAATTTTAGCTAAGTCTCACAAATAGTTGACACTTGAGGTGACAGAATTAAATGAGAAAATCAAGGCAAAATCAAACACACGAAGATAAACTGGAAGAAGTCACTTCGGTTTGTTGGGAAATGAACTGTTTAACAAAAAAAAAAGCTCCAAAAGAAGAAAGACTAATAAAAATCCTGAGATGTGTTGCTGATTCTCTTGGTGTGTTGGCTTGCAGGAGGACATGAACCTGAACGAGGACCGTAAAGCTCCTTTAAGGGACAAAGACCTGAGCACCAAACGGGAGATGGTTGTCCAGTACATTTCTGCAACTGCCAAATCTGTAAGTTCTCCCCTCTCCACGAGACACCTGAGCAAGGAGCTTTGAGTTTTCAACTTTTTAAGCTTGGAACTTGATATTTTTTTTTTTGTCTGGATTTATCGAAGAGTGGTAGGAAAAAAGAAATGTGTACTTAGTAACACATTTCTAAATGCTTGCAGCTGCATCTGAGCAGTTAGTTTGTGTTTCTCCTTGCTAGGCAATGTAAAAATTGATTATTTCTTGGAAACTATCAGAAATTGCAAATCCAGTGATGCAGAGTCATGGATGGAACCTGAGCATATTTCTGTGCAATTCATCTTAAGAACTTCTGGTACCCAAAGTTTCTGACTTTGTGGTTTCAGTAGTGATGTATGTATTAGACTCTAGTGAAAGATGGTCTGAAAACCAGTTTCAAATTACATTTTGAGTAGAAATAATGTTTTGACTTTTCATTGATGCTGATTATTCTCTGTAATTTAATTAACCCTTCATGTACAATTTGTCAGGTCTGTCTCCTTTGGGGTGCAAGAACTGTAAGGAAATGACTGGATACCCCAACGTTTTTGGGTTGGATAAATACCATTTCAAATAGTGAAGTGCTGCAGTTTATTTTCTGCAGTTGTACTGACTAGCTATAAAATACACCAGCAATGTTTTGTGTGTGTTAAAAGTTGGCTATGGCAAATATGGAAATAAGGAAAGATTTTGATGGTGTCTGCCTAAGGAATCTTTAAGCATGGACTGCAAGCAGTACAGTTGACTTGTCCCTTGTTAACCTTGAAAATCACCTCTGCAGAGTTAAGTTTCAAAAATTAAGATGACAATGACATGCAATTATTATGCAAATGCCTTGCATGGAACATTATAAACTTGAGTGAGGAAAAGCTTGTGTTATAATGGTGATGAAATGGTAATGAAAATGGTGATTTAAGTTCTGAGAGGAGTCATGTTCCTGCATGAGTTCATCTTAAACAAAATCCACAGTCCTTTAGTGTGTGCTGGAAGGAATCCAGTGCTTTAAGCATGGTCTAACTAAATGTACAAATTACTGGAGAATTATTCAAGCTTATGCAGTGAATGTTATGAACTAGACTGTCTTTGGGAACTGTTAATTATGCTCTGTAAGGTTTTTATCTTCACTTGATGATCAATATTAAATCTGGATTTTTTTCTTAGTATGCAAAAATACTTTCTTGAAGCAGTAGAAATGGAAGTATTTGGTCTTTTTTTTTCCCAAGAACTAGTTGAACCATGGTGATGTCTGTCATGTACACTGTGATTTGAGATGTAGGTGCCTCAAGCCCCAGAATTGTGCAGCTGAGTAAGGAAAGCATGGCTACACCATTGCATGGCTCACTGCTGCAATTTGACTGCATTGCATTGCTCCCCATGTGTGCTGCAGCATGGGAAACTTCACAGGACTGGGAATAGAATTGTCCACACATACTAACAATTGAAAACTGAGTCATCCTGAAAGGTCCTGCTACATCCATGTGCACTTTGGGCCTAAGTCAGCACCAGTGTGCATGTTTTACACATTGCAGAGTGTTTTTCCTAGAGGAAAAGCAGCTCGTGTTGAAGTTTTTTTGCTTCAGTATGTCCTCCTTGCAATTGAATCACAGCATTTGAATGGAATCTTGCAGAAATATACATTACCTTTCTCTAGCATGTTATTCTAATTTACCTTTTAATAGCTAGCATCTTGATTTAAAAAAAAAAAATTAAAAAAACAGAGCTTAATTTTCAAATGTTGATTGGGATTTTACAGTGGTGCCAAACCTCATGTTCACTTGTAATTTCATCTTCTGTTTAATGCAACTACTATTCTGCTCCATGAATTCAAGCCCTAATCAATCTTTATTGCATCATGAATTGTCAAACTTCCTTTTCTTCAGGATTATCTTCCATGAAAATGCTGGTTGCATTCAAAATGATCTGTCTTTAAATTTCCTACCTTTTTCTTTTGTCACAGATAATTATCTGTCTTCTTTTTTTACACTGAAAATACTTGGACCTTCTGCTTAGAGCTCACAAAAGACATTTAACAGTTGATGTACTTTTCTTGCAGTTCATTTCATGTTTGTTTTAATTAGGCTTTTGAGCTCCTTCCCCTCATGTGAAAATATCACTCTCATTTGCTGATGTTGTCTTAACCAAATTATTTGAAATTTGGTGCTTCATTTTCTCTGCCTGTGTGCTGTGGTGCAGCATGTTGACCATGCTTTTCTGAAACACTCATCTTCAAACATCTGAGAAAGGAATTTTGGGTTTCACTGGGTGCAGAAAGTTTTCCTTGGGGCTGGAGGACATGCAGAAGCTGATGAGCTGGATGCTTTCATGGGAAGTGATTTTCTGTGCTTCTCATTCCTTCTCTCACTTGAAGAGAAAGATTGTTGACCATGGGGATTGTAGCTGAGGACTGGTGAAGGATTGGAATTCTGTTTCAGGACTGAACCTGGTGACTTTTTGTGCTGTACTGAATAGTTGAACATTGGTGAGAGGAGAAGATAAATTAGGAGAGGGGATTGTCTGGTGATGGCAATCAGTTCTAGAGGAAACTTCTTCAGGAAGAGAAGTGTTGATTGTGAAGGACTTGCAGGGACTTTAATTTCCAAAAGTGTTCCTTAAGGAACAAGAGATTAGAGTAGAGAAGGGAGCAGGTAGAGTCTGAACAGACACACATGGAGAAGTCAGACCCAAACCAGCTGGTGAGCAGATAAAAGTGAATTTTTAATAAATTGCCTGTCAGGTTGAGCAGGGAGCAGAGGCTTTCCCCAGGAACAGGGGAATTAGTGCAGGGTGACACAACAGGGCACACATGTGCTGCCTGCCTGCACTTCTCTCTGGGAAAAGTCAACTTTTTGTTCATGAGTACAGAGAGATGCTGTTCCGTGGTAAGGAGAAGATGGCATTCTGAAAATCACTGCTTAATTATCCATGTAATTAAAAGCATCCATACCGAGCAGTTGAATGAAAATGTCATGTGAGTTTTTTCTGAAGTGCAAGTTGGAGTTATAACTGTAGGCTATGTTTTTGATTATGAAAACTTAATTAAATTCAGTGGTGACATCATCTAAACAGATCAAAAGCTCCATAACAAAACAAAGTTGTTACACATACAAGGAAGTCAGTGTGCCATTAGTGTGTTGTCAGTGTCATGTATAAAGCATTTGACCTGATAATTTGAACAAATGGCACATTTCATCTTTCAAGATGGAGCTGTCAAGACAGGTATTTAGTGATTTGTTGGTGAATGTGTCAAATACTGGGAATTCAGCAGCAGAACATAAGAATTTGAAAACTCTTGCTCCTGCTGCAGAGCTGCTGTTTTCCCATTGAGAAGCTCTAACCCCTAAACAGGTTAATCAAGTAATAAAAGAATGCAACTACTACTAATGATTAAACACTGAAAAAATGTGTGTGCAACTACATCCTACTAAGTTCTGTGCTGTTTATTTATGTATTATTATTATTATCTTTTTTACACAATAACCTCTCTTGGCTGGCCACTGCATGCAGATAGTCGGAAGTAAAGTTCCGGTGAGTACGAACATGAGAGTTTTGTTTTCTCTTATCAACTTTATTTTTTTTTTTTTTTTAGAGATTAGGCTGCAATATTTTAGACTTTTATCTGAGTTTTTAAAAGTTCACTAGGCACAACTGAATCTTTGTTTTAGCAAAATAATTGTCAACCACCTCAATCGTGTTTATCCTACCAGGATGAGGTCGTTGCTTACACTTTTGAGGGATCTCTTCAAGTTTTCAGGAATTTGCAAATAATTCAAACTCACTCAGTTCATCCCTTAATTGTGGGCAACAAATATAATTTAAGCTTGTCTTGCTTCTTATTGAAGGCAGGCACTCGAAATTTTCAATGGACAGTCTTTGGCTTAGTTCATTCTATTGAAATTTGGATTATTTTTTATGTCCTAATTGTTGTTGTTCATAGTTTGTCTTGGAAATGCCAACTTCAGCAGATCAATGTGTGAGTAAGATTAATTTAGAGGTTTCAGGAGGTCAGTAAGTTTGGTGAGATCACTGAGAGCATAACTTCTCTCTTTTTAAGGACTCATCTACATTTTACATTGTCTTGATTAATTCAAATAATATAAGCAAATATTTGGGATTTAATTTCTTGAAGTGAGTTCAGCAAGTTTTTTTTTCCTGGAATAAAGGATATTTTGGGGGAATAATTACATATGGATTTCAAATAGTGGTTGAAAGCCAAGATGTTCTTTTAAATTATGGATGGACTTTATTTTTGATTATGGCCAAAACAGGCTTTTCAGGTAAAGCAAGGCTTTCTGCTTAGGTCATATTCAGTAATTAAATCCTGTAGTAAAAATAATAGAGAACAATCTGTGACTTACAACTGTTTAATCATTGCCTCAGATGTAGTTAGGTTTATATTCTACACACTTTATTCTTATAGACTTTTCTCTTGGCTTTGTTTAATTAAGGGTGGCCTTTAAAGAGACTTTTATATTCACCAGTGCTTTTTAGTTCTGTACTGGCTTTGGTTCCTCTCCTGACTGAGGAAAATACCTTCATTGTACTTATGTATTTAAAGGGGACAAATTATTAATTTTCCAGTTCAGTGTGTTAAAACCAGTTTCAAATAATCCCTGCTGCTGTGTCATTTCCTTATGGTGTGAATTAGCCTGAGCAGCTGCTTTGTGAAGAACTTATTTTAGAAAGGAAGCTGATATTCCCACAATGGGTAGGGGAGAAATTCTAAGATGTTTTCTTCCCCATGCCTTTGAGTTTAGGATCTGATAGAGAGCAAGAACTCTGCATTAAAAGCATGTTTTTGTGCAAATAACTTGCTCAATACTAAACTAAGAGATGCTGTGCCTGGAGTGTGGCTTCTGCAGATAATTGCTTTTTACAAGTGCTGCCACCTCGGTGTGCTTCTTCCAGGATTCATCCTTGAGGGGCTCTTTGCTTCTGCCAGCACATGGAGCTATTTCCTGGGAGATTCACACCTTCACTGGGATCAGGGAGCAGAGGAATTTTTGGGATGTTCCTGGTAGTGCTGTTGGGCTGCAGAGATTGCAGAGCTTTCCCTGTTCATGGGAACTCACAGCTTGAACCGATGTGAATTTGAGCTGGGATCCTCAGCACTGCAGTGTGGTGCAGCCTCATCGGGGTCATCATCAGTGAATCCTTCTCTGCCTTTGTTGTAACACTGGGAAGGTGCCCAGTCATGAAGTAATCTCTAAATTTTTCATTCTTAAGCATTGGTTTAATCTCTGAACATGCTGATATGGGACCCAAGCCTCCATCAGTTTCTTTCTACTTTACTTTTGCTTTCATCTTCATTAGATGTTCTCCTCTAAAACATTTTTCACTGAGATCTTATACCTCAAAGTGAGAAATATTTGTAGTAAAATCTGATCTATATAAAGGTATAACAAAAATTAAAATAACATTCCAATCAAACTCTCTTGGAGGGAAATAAAAGAAGTAGCAGCTGGTTCAGCACTCCAGTTAGCATGGCTAGAGGTAAGAGTGGATTGAGAGTGAGGCTTTGATTGCAGGGAACAACAGAAAGTAATCCTAGTAAGATCAAAATGGTCTGAAATATTTCAAGAATGTTTTTTTTGTGAGCTGTCTTGAGTGACAATCCGTTTTGAAGAGGGAAGAAAATAAGGAAGAGGTGTTGGTTCCTTATTGCTGTGCAGTTAAAGGTGCTTTTTCAAAGATTCAGTGAAGAAATGTGCCTGTCCTGCAATCCATGGCAAGGAGCTTTAGCAGAGCATGCTGCCAGTTCTTGGAAGTATTAATCTATTTTTGAGGGAGCCATGGGTGTTCTGAAAACAAGGGACTGGGTAGAGCAGAGGTGCTTCACTAATGGATGGCACAGAAAGGAAAGGCAGCGAGATCCCACCTTGGTTTAAACACAAAACCAAGAGTAGCCAAGACTTGAGGGTGCCCCAGTGTGACCTGGAGTCTCCTTTGGAGCTTGCAGCAGGCTGCAGTGGGAGGACAAACTCATCTCTTGGCAAAATGCAGTGTCTTGCATTCTGGAGTGCTTTTCCAGGGCCTAGATCAACAGGCAGTGGCACTGATTGAAGTTGTCATTGTGTCATCTCTGGACCTTTTGTGGCTCTCAGCAGCAATTCTGTTCCCTTACCACTTGGGAATGGCTGAAATGACAAAATCTGTGCCCAGTTACATCTACATTGTGTAGATGATGTGCATTAGTTGCAAAATTTTCTCTGATTCCCATCCATTCAATGGGTGGGATAAAACTGTTCCTTTTTCCTGAATCTTTACCTTATGGTCCTTCAGAGTGATGCTTTTTCTGAATTTTGATGATTTTTGATACATTAACCTGATTTACAGTCAGCTCCTACTCTTGTAAAGATCATCCCCAGCCATTTATTCCTTTTTCTTCTGGTGAAAGAGCATCTCTTTGTTTAGGATGTTGATGATAACTGATTCCAGTCCCTTTGTATCCTTCTTCCTCACCTTTGCCTTGGTCCTTGGATGTGTGGCTGGCCTGTGATGCTCAGCTGAAGGTGCTTTGCACAAGGAGCTTCCTCCAAGCCCTCACAGTGCACAGGAGACCCTGTTGTCTCACTGCAGTCACAGTCTGGTTTTGTTCTGCATCTCAAAGTGTGTTGTGACATCTCTTCTGTTCTGTGCCTTGAGTCTGGCTAGGTCAAAGTCATTCACTTAAATTTAGCCAAGTCATTTTGGCATCAGCCATACTTAGTGGAGTTTTGGAAAATGAATGGGGAGAATTTGAAGAGAACAAAACAGAAATTTGATAAGAACTGGAGCTTTGTGAAAGTGAGACAATTTGAGTGTTTGTAGTGGAAGTGATGCAATTAAAAGCAAATGCATATAAATCATCTCCTAGGACAGGCACTTGATATTGCCTTAACAGCCCTGACATCTTTATCAGGTTCTCTTCAACAGACCCTTCAGAGCTAAGGAGCTTTAAGAGCTGCAAATGAATCAAAACCACTCCTGTGAGATAAGCCTACTGCAGCTTGTCAGAGCTGTACAAAAGATTAGTTGCACCTTTTGGAAAAATGTTTTGTCTTGTTCACGGGGTTGAATACTATAGCTCTAAAACTGATATTCAGGTGTTTTAATAGTGAAATACTGTGTGAGTAGTTATTCTTCTGTAGTGGCACTTCAGCAGGAGAGAGCTCTTTGTCAAAGCTCCTGGATGATTTTGTTGCAGCAAACAAAGTCCTCTAGAGATCTCTGTTAGTGACCAACCATGGACTATGGGACAGCAAGAAATTGGCTCATGAACTTGCATGAACTGTTTTTTTTCTGTTTCTCTTTGATTGTTTCCAATACAGTGTTGTAAAGTAGATGTTTAATATGTTAAATATGTTAATACAGCTGAATGATGGAGTTAAGTTTTTATATTCAATTTGTACTACATGCGCTTTTACTCAAAGAAATGGAAAAGATTCCAGCAAGAATAGTTATCTTTGTGATGTAAAACCAAAAGTATTAAACACTGATGGCAAATCCAAGTCAAGCCAGTTGTCTTGAATACTTGTACTATGGTTTGAGAATTCCTATGGAAATATTAGTCTTCTGTTTTATCATCTAAACCCTGATGACTGGAGCACTCATCAGCATTCTGCCTTCTGTGATAGGGTGGACTCAAAAACAGCAAGCATGAATGTACCCTGTCCTCACAAGAATATATCCATGAACTGAGATCTGGAATTTCAGATGAAAAACTTCTTAATTGCCTGGAGTCTCTGAGAGTGTCTCTAACCAGCAACCCAGTGAGGTAAGCAGAGCAATTTCTGCAGTGCTTTTCATCATGCTGTTTTTGCTAAGCAGGAGAGTTGTGAGCTTTGGGTTTGTTTTTTTTTTTTTTTTTTATGCCAATGCTTGCTGACAGGAGAGCAGCGTTCTCAGCAGCCTGGGTGAGGACAAGTGAAATGTTTGCAGCTGTCTGCAAGATCTCCTCACCTTTCTCTGTGCCTTTCAGCAGTTGGTACTGGCTGGAACTGTTTGCCTTTGTGATGGATCAGATCTTTTGGGAAGTGAGACCAGAAGTGGAGCCTGTGAAGGGATGCACAAGCAGTAATGGAGAAATAGCTTTGCATTTGATTAAGAAATAATTAAAAACATTTTTCTTTTTTTTTTCCAGCTGGGTTAACAATTTTGGACATGAAGGTCTTGGACTTCTGTTGGATGCATTGGAGAAGCTTCTGGACAAGAAACAGTAAGGACTGGATCATTTGAGGGGAGGGATGGGGAGGTTGTGAAGATTTTCTTGGTGATTTTCCTCATTCCTTTCTAGGCAAGAAAGTATTGATAAGAAGAATCAACATAAACTTATCCAGTGCCTCAAAGCATTTATGAACAATAAAGTAAGTATTATTTTAAATTCACATACTTGTAGCATGATTAGGTTTTGTTGAGTTGAAGATACATAGAGCATGTTTAATATTGGAGAGGGAAGAGAAGTTTGTGTATCCAGTGTTTAACTCTTTGGAAATGCAGGTCTTAAACTTAGTGTAACTTCTCTTGGGAGTCTTCTTCATGAACCTTTCTGCATTTTTTTCTTAATTTTATTAGATCTTTGGAAGTAAAATATTTGATAAAGAGAGGATGATAGTATAAATTTAAGGTGAATTTGGAAATTAATTACTTGGGAACTGAGGAAAAATAGCTTTCCAAATTCAGATTTCAATACTTGATTGTTAATATAATGTACCTGATTTAAATTGAGTGGGATTTGATATCTTTTCAGCTGCAGTTTTATAGTTGGTAGGTCATGGCTAAAGGATTAGGTTAAGTTGTGTGTGATTTCATTCTAGCACAGGCTACTCAGGTTTTTAGAAGCTGATGTGCTCAACTTGTACTTTTGCTTTATTCGTAGCAAAATCTGAAGTCTTGTGTTTATGTGTCCTCCCCAGCAAATAAAACTGCATAAAAGTTACTCATTACTCTAACTCAGTTTAGAAAAATCTCACAGAAGAGCTTGTCTAATGAAGGGGAAGAAAAGCAGATTTTTATACTTCTGAGATGTTTCAGATATAGGTAGAAAATAAAACCTGATTTGTCTTTGGGTGGGTTCAGATTTTGCAAGGTCCTGGTGTCCTCCTGAGGAGCTGAATCTCTCTCTCTGTCAGGAGAAAACCTCAAATGCAGGAGTGGGGACACTGACCTGTGTCCCAAAATGATGTTTTGGGGTTTTGGTGGAATTTTGGTGGAGTGGTACCAAAGCCCCTCTGGGGAGGGAGGGTTTGGGGGAATCCCTCAGGATCTGAAGCTGCTGCTGAGTATCCAAGACAAGCACAATCTTCTCACCAGGAGCTTTTTGTTTCTCCCAGTATGGTTTGCAAAGGATTCTAGGAGATGAAAGAAGTCTCTTGCTGCTGTCAAGAGCAATCGATCCAAAGCAACCACACATGATGACTGAGACAGTGAAAATCCTTTCTGCCATCTGCATTGTTGGAGAGGAAAACATGTGAGTGAGATATTGAAGTTTTTTTATTTTTTTTGTGCTCATGAGTTGTTAATTTGGACACAGGTGAGAAAAGTTGTCAGTGAAACAAATGCAACCTATTAAGGCTTTAATAATGTGGTTTAAAATTGAAGAGACTTCACCTGTTGTTGCCTTAATTCAGTATAAATCAGAGAAAAGCAAATGATCAGAGACCTGCACGCTGTGGCTGACATGGAAGGTCTGAAAGGACAAATCTTTCTATCACAAGAAGTTTATATTCACAGCTGGGCTTTGCAACACTTCAACTTAGAGTTATTTAGCACTTGCCCATGAGATTTTTAAAACCAAGATAATCACTTGGCATATGTCTCCTGTAAATTCACCACTGTGTTTATTTACTGAAGGTTAAAATGGGCCAACTTTGTGTCTTCTATGCAATAAATAGATTAAACCATTTTGATTTCTGAAAGGGCAGTTTATTAGCATTTCCAGATGTTCAACATGTCAGCTTTACCAAGCACATTGTCCTGCAAATGTAGGGATTTTTCTGCCCTCAATGATTGTTGATTAGCTGAAATAATATAGAGATTTATTCACCCTTTTTTCTTATTTCAACATTATTCTTGTAGACATGTTTAACACTTGGTTCCTGGATTGTTTTCAACTTTCTGAAGATAAATTTATTTCAACTGTCAGTGCAGTGAAGTAGAGCTGTGTGAACAGTGGGCTGAGTATGTTGAAAATGAGCAAGCTGCCTGTGCTGGGCTCTTGTGACACTTTGTGTTTCTCTTAGTCTGGACAAGCTTTTAGGTGCTATAACAACTGCTGCTGAAAGGCACAGCAGGGAGGAACGTTTCTCTCAGATTGTTGAAGGCCTGGAGAACCACGAGTTCATCCAGCTGCAGGTGAGTTTGCCTTTCTGTGGCCTTCAGCTGAAATCCCTGTGTATTTTAAATTAATTAATTAAATTAAATTTACACAGGACATCTTGTAGTGCTATCAATCCAGTGGTCAGTCAAAGAAAACTCAACACCAGTACTGATTCTGATTTTCTACTTAATAATGGTGGGAGCCAAGGAACTCAATTCCTGTCCTAAAAATAGGATTAAGAATCTTGACCTTAATAGAGCAATTAGTGATATTTCTTTCCTTGGAATCCAGGTGTCATGTTCAGGTAATCAAACTGATGCTGGTACTTTAGGCAGCCTCTTGAATATTCAGATCTATGCTAATTCTGGCAGGTGTAGCATGGGCTGTGCTCATTTTTGGCAGGGCTCCTTTTGGGGTGAGGGAAGTGCAGCAGGATTTTATTGGTGCTTTTGTCACCAAGGACTCTGTTTCTTGCTGTGTGTTCAACATGTGCCTTTGTCTGAGGGGAATCTAGGGAGCTTTCAAAGTTATTTTTATAAAATAATAAAATAATCTGTGCCAGTGGTTTTTACTAAGTCATGGCTTAGATCATGTTCATTGCTGCTTCTGTGCATGGACAGAAGTTTTTATCCTCTGTGGGCATCAGAGGTTTGGGTGGTATTAAGATTCAAGCTTTTTTTAGTTGGGATTGGTTGGATTTTTTTGGTACTTCCATTTTTGCACAGAGGCCAAGTGGCTGAATATCCTAATAAAGGACGACTTTGACTTATTACCTTCTCATAATGCATTAGTTATGCACTTTTTTTTACTAAAATTTCTTTTTCAGCTACCTTGGCTGAAGGATATGGAAAAATCCAGGCAGGGCAGGTATCCTTGGGATGCTTTTTTCCAGTCCTGGCTCAAACACCCATCAGCTGTAGCTGCCTTAATGCTGTGTTTACCATCAGCACCTCTTGTTTCAGAGCTGATGAGTTAATAATGCCCAATAAGTTTCTATAAATGACATTCTAATCCTAATAGTGCTATCACTGAAGAATTCATTCTGGAGTTGTCCCCTACTCTGTGACCTTGTTGATTTAAGGCAAACAAGAGCCAGCACCCAGCATTGCTGCCAGCCTCCCCTCCCAGAGCTCAGTGCTGCTCAGTGAAGGCACAATTGCAAGACTCATTACCTTGTTCCTGACAAAGTCGTTCTTTGCTGGTAATGTATTAGCACAAGCCATTAAGGCAGAGTCTCTGGCAGAAGCAATCAGAGCAGATGGCACCTCTTCTCTCTATTAATTTCAGATTGGACATGTGCTTTGGCTTGTTAAGTCGTGTCATAGTAGTAAAATAACAAGAATCATTCAAGCAAGCACAATGATACTGCATTATCTGAAGATGCAGCTCTATCAAGAGAGTGCCTTTGAAAGGGTGTTTTAATAGGAATTTGAGACTCCATAAGGTGTTCTATTAAAGCTAAATAGTGAATTTAATTAAAACAGGAAGGTGCTTTTTATCTGATTTTTTTTCCTTTGCAGCTATTGATTTTTTTTTTGTCCTACTCTAAAGCTACTTCTATTTGCAGTTAAGATCTTTTACTAAACTTGGTATTTCCCTTGAGTCCCATTTTAGTCTTGTAATGTGGATCAGCACTTTTGGCGTTGTGCTGTTGTCTACCTGCTTTCCAATAAATCAATTCAAGTGCCCAGCTGTTCAATTAAAGCATTAGCCACCACCCTGAGACTTCAGGCATTTTGCAGCAGTTCTCTGCAGGATTGCACAAAACTCCTGGTGATGTGGCTAATTGGGGTCTGGGTGTTTATTGGGTGGTTCTGATGTGGGGTTTGTTCAGTTTTTTTAACAGTTTGTTTTCAAACTGCTGAATACTGAGGAGAAAAAGGAGGAGGTTCAACGGGCAACTTTAGTTTGGGATTAACTGGGGGATGATTTTAGGGTAGAGAGGCCCTGGCTCTGGTGCCCAGAGCAATTGGGGACCCCTGGATCCCTGGGGGTGTCCAAAGCCAGGCTGGACATTGGGATTTGGAGCACTCTGGGACAGTGGGAGGTGTCCCTGCCATGCCAGGGGTGGTACTGGATGAATTTTAAGGTCCCTTCCACCCCAAACCATTCCATGAGATGATTCTGTGAGGATCATTCATGTGGTATTATTTTGACACAGCAGAAATATCCTGATATGGAAGCAGAGCAGTATTTGATGTTGCTAAAATAAACCCAAGTGTTGCATGTGTGCTGCATAATAAATAATATCAATTTCTTTGCTGTTAGAATTGGACTGAGGCAGTGACTGAAAGCATTGATTTTTCTTGCTGTATTTCTGATTACAGGTAGCATGTATGCAGCTCATCAATGCCCTTGTTACATCTCCTGAAGACCTTGATTTCAGGATACACTTGAGAAATGAGTTTTTACGTTGTGGCCTGAAGAAAATACTGCCTGTAAGTCATTGGTACCCAGGAGCTGAGCACTCCTGTGGGAATGCTGCAGATAACCAAACTCTTGAACCAGAACTGCACATGTGAAGGATTGGGGGTGCAGAAGGTCAGGTTATCAATCCAAATCTGCCTTCAGAGTTGCAAATTCAGCTTCTCATGAGCTGTATAAACCAGAATAGTAGTTGAAACAAGTCAATATATTAGGAACTGAATGAGGGTAGCCAAATTCTGCATAATGCACTGAATGTGAATCTGGCTGTGGAATCAATCTTGGATTAACTTTGTTTGTACCTGCTGTTGTTTTCTGTGAAATCTGTTTTTCTTTAATCTGCCTGCTGAGAATGCATTGGGACATTCTAAGGAAAAATCCAATTGATTCTGAGACTGCCTGTGTGAATTCATGCAGCTGCACAGACAGGAATAGTTCTGACTTGGGGAGAGATTTGGAAATCTGAGTTGAACAAGCAGGAATTGCTGTGTCCCATTAGGAGAAATGGATTCAACTGGAAATCTTCTGGTTTGTTCTGTAGGCCATACCTGCTCTGTGAACTTTGCCTTCAGTTTTTCTCAGCTGAATCATTATAATAAAAAAAGCCCAGGCACTGAGTTAAAACTTGCTTCTGTTCTAAAGGTTCATGTTTATTTATTTCATCATGATACAGTCCTTCAAGGGGGGGGAATTCTTGCTTTAAAAAAGGAAAAATTAAGATATACTCTACCTTGAACAACAGGCCTTGAAAGATAAGGAAAATGATGAGCTTGATATTCAGCTGAGGGTGTTTGATGAGAACAAAGATGAAGACCACTTTGAGCTGTCACATCGTCTCAATGATATCAAAGCTGAAATGGAATATCCTTTAAGGAAGTGCTGTCACAACTTGTGTCGTTTCACAACTTTATTAAATGGAAATTACAGTGCTCTATGTGCAGGTTATTTGTCTCAGTTGTGTGTCTTACCAGGGGCTTTGTCAAGCAGATTTCTCTCCAGTTGCCTTTTTTTTTTTTTTTTTGTTGGAAAATATTTAGATAATTAGTGCTTAAATTTGCATGTCAAATGTAAGTCATTGGGAACTGAATTAATTTTTCATAAATAACATTTATTAAGCTAAACTCTGTCTCATAATACATGAAGAGATAAAATTATACCCATGGAAGATCATAAGTTGGAAGAAAAATTAATTTTGATAATAAAAGGAACAAAATTTCTCCTAGGTTCTGAAGAACTTGAGATGTGTGCATTTTCTAGCTGTGAAGGAGCAGGAAAATTCAGAGTTCCCTGAGTTCAGAATGGCTGCTTGCAGGTTTTGGGAGGAAGCAGAGGGAGGTAGAGGCAATCAATGGGAGGACTATAAAATCCTCTGTAATGTTGTTGTTTTGCAGAACAGGTAATTACAAGTAAAGGTCATCTTTAGGAAATAAAATGAAAAATAATTGACCAGTGTGTGTTTGCCAATAGCCTGGCTGAGCTCAGAGTGGAAACAAAGCTTTGTGTGAAATATTTATACAGGATTCTAAAACACTGTCTATATATGATTGTTCTGATTTAATAATGGAACATGTCCCAATTGTTAAAACAGGGCACAGAAATTCTGTGCACAATCTTGGTGTAAAAATAATATTTACTGCTGAGATAGGAGTTGCAAGTGTGGAGGGGTTTGACTTTGCCCATGTGGGAAATGTCTGGGGAGCTGTGTTTGGGTGGGGGGGCTGTTCTGGGCTGCAAAGGGGGGGGTTTTGGTCTTTTGTTTATATTTTAAGTTGTTTTTTTAAGTACTTGTATTTTCTTAACCATGTTTGCACTGATGTGAGCGAAGTATTTCATCTGCTGTACAATATGGTGAAAGATACTTCTTCTGAAAATTACTTCTTGTCAATCCTCCAACATTTCCTTCTGATCAGGAACGATTATTATGTCCGGTGAGTGTGCCAGGCTGGGGTTGGTGGGGGCATTAGGGGCAAGAATAGAAATCAACACCCTGATAAACTGAACAGCTCATGCCTAAAAAGCCACTCTGGGACTGATGTGTTATTTGTCTTTTTGCTCCATGTTAGTATTAAAAAGATCTTGGTAAATATAATAGGCTAAGCTTAAAGTTTCTGAAATCAACACTAACGCCCTCATCCCAAAATCCTCAACTCCTTGGGCACTTTATTCAAGTTTGATACCTTCATTGCTTGAAAGAAATGAAAGTTGTAGAGCTGATAATTGAAAATACTCCCACGTGCCTTGATCTGGTCTTTGCAGTGTCAACTTCTCTAAAGTGCAGCACGATGTCTTAGCAAGGTCAAGGCACCAGATCCAAAATATTTACAAATAAAAATGTGAACTTGCTACTTCTTCTGGCACTTGTAAAATTCAGATATTAGGAGGTAGTTGTCCCCCCTCCCCAGTTGCATAAAGGCTTCTTCACGTTCTAATTGCCTTGTAAATGTTTCCTGTTTTAGACCTCAGTATTACAAGATCATAGAGGAATGTGTGTCACAGATCGTGCTGCACTGCAGTGGAATGGACCCAGATTTTAAATACAGAGGAAGGATGGACATTAACTTTACACATCTTGTTGGTTTGTACTCTTTGAGCAGTTTTACCTTGTTTTTCTTTGTGTTCTTCTGTCTAGTCTTAGACTGACTGTGAATTTTTTCAGTGTTCTGGAAATCTGCATGTAAGCTACAGGTGTACTAGTGGAGTACCAGACCAAATTCTGTAGCTTTTAATGAAATGAGACATGGTCAAAAGAAATAATGCCTGTTACTTTTTTATTGTGGGCTCACAGGGTAATTATGGTTGGAAGCACCTCAGAGCTGTGATATGTTTGATTTCACTTGTGTGTGGTATTTTTTTTTAAATTCTAGATGCATGTGTGGACAAAGCTAAGGTAGAAGAGAGTGAAAAGAAAGCAGCAGAATTTTCCAGAAAGGTAAGTCCTACTCATGGTTCTCTTTAAGGTGTGGGACAGAATCCTGACAGGAACACAGTGAGAGAAAACTGGGCAATAGTGCCTCTCACAGGGAGGATGTGCTTTCATTGAAAGCTCTGTGCTTCTGTGTGTGGGAAAGGCTCAGATGCAGTGGAGTCAGAAATCAGACCTGTACATCTCTTCAGGTGTATTGCTGTGCTGTAGATAACTGATGGGAGAAATTCCACTTGTTGCTCTTCTGTCCTGAAGTAGTCATAATTAAATAATTTAGGTATAAGCTTAAAAAAAATGAATGCATATGCTATATTAGCTGCACTAGTACTGACGTTCATGTATTATGGAAGTGTGCATTGAAATCATTCAAAATCCATTTTTTTGCTGGTCTGGTCTAAGTAGGCATTTTCAGGCCAAATGAGAGAACATCTTCTTGAACATGATGATTGCAGATGCAATTTTTAATGAATTTAAGCTTGCTGCAATAGATGTGTACTCGAGTTTGGTTTGAGAAGTCTGCAGTGTTCTCTTGGAGCAAAAAACCTGTACTGAGCAGCTGGATTTGGGTGTTCTGTCATTGAGTAATTGATGGAAGAAATTGTGGTACTAAAAGTCAACTAAAAGTTAGAAAAATGCTGCTAAAAGAGTTACAAGTGCATCAATTGCTCCAGCTCTGATATTGTTCCAAGAATTCCTGCCAGTCTAGGCTCTGGTGTGGCCATACCTGGACAAACTCTCCTGTATTGTTTAAATCCTTGCAGTTTGATGAAGAGTTCACAGCTCGACAAGAGGCACAGGCAGAGCTGCAGAAACGAGAAGAGAAAATCAAAGAACTCGAATCAGAAGTGAAACAGCTCCGGACCCAGGTAATCAAAATGTATCACATCAAGTTCTACAGCTGAGATTTATTTTTTTTGTTGTTTTTTTGTTGTTTTTTTTTTGAGGAGGAGTTGAGAAGAAATTGCCCCCAGAGTCACTTGTGTCTCTGGAGTTTGCAGTGTGTGCTCTAGGTGTATTGATTTGTTTTGCAGCCAGCATAAGTTACTAAGGATAGTTAATGGAGGTAACATTTTTCAAATAGTATTATATTCAACCTGTCACAGGTACCTGCTTTATGGAGGAAAAAAAATGTTCCTTAGGCTATAAAAATCTTGCATCCAGCCTGATTTTGTTGGTTTTCCCCCTGCAAGTATTTATGCTATCACATTTCTGCTTCTGTATGTTTTGCAGAAAGTTTTTGTTTAGGAAGTGTTTATTTTTAAAGGCTTTTCATTTTATATCTCTTTTTTTGCTCTTACACTTCATGTAAGTCTTTTTAATTTGTTACACCATCTTTGGGTTTTAGACAGGTCATTTATACCTTTTAGGAACAAACAGATATTATGATTTAGTCTGGCTTATTTTGTACTCCCTAGGCAAGGTCTGCCTGTTGCCTTTTTGTCTTTATTTTTGCTGTTTTAATGCCTGGCATCTCACTTCCTATTTGGACACTAAGGTGGAGGCACAGACACTCCTGCTCTTCCTTCTTGCTGATTTTCATATTTGTTACACATTGCTACAATCCAGTGTTACACTGAAATTTGACAGTCTGTTTTAATGAGTTCTGCAGCAATTGCTGCTTTATAACTTGTGGACCAAGGAAACATATGCTTTGTGCAAAGGAAAAAAAATGTACTTTTAGTCTAATTAATTATTAATCCTGTTTTATTGACTCTACCACAGTTCAAATTATCCAGACACGACAGGGCATTCACAGTAATGCTGACCATTGGTTAATTAACCATGTAATTCGAGTGTCTGTTCCCTTTTCCAGTGTTATGCTCCCCACAGAATATGATGACATTTATTTTTAGCTGCACTCACCCCTCTGATGGTTTGACATGCTGTTGTTTCTCTTCCTTAATAATTAGTAAGAACTTATTAGAATGGGTATTGTGATTGCTCTTTCTTCTTCTCACCTGAGAAGCACCCTCAGATTTAAAAGACAGGTTGTTGCCCACCCTTCACCCCTCCAGATGTCAGAATGGTTGTGAACAGCTGGGCTGCTGTGACCTCTTGCACTTGCAATAGCTGCTCCTCTGATTGCTGGGGAAAATTTTCCAGCAGCAGATGAGTGTTGTTAAAATTCAGTGTGGGTATTCTCATCTCTGGGTGCCCCAGCTTGCTGGGGTATCCTAAGTGGGATAAATGTTTTGTGCATTGGTAAGAAATAAAATGCTGTTCTGTTCACTTAAATGTTACTGCTGCTATTAAATTTTCTTTAAAATTGAAACAATTTGTTTTTATAAAAATGCTAGGTTATTCAGTTTACTTGGCAGCTTTATGGTACGGGGTATAATCTGTTGTTATTGTTTCTCATTTAAATAGGAGAACAATTGCATTTCTCACTTTCTTGAGGTGCAGTTGGCTAAAAAACATTGTGGTTGGTTCAGCTTTGTATCAAACTGCCTCCTGTCACTGATGGAAAGAATTCCTTTTATGTTTCAGGGTCCAAGCCTGACAGAAGTCTCAGCAGTACCTCCAGCCCTCCCAAGTGAGAACGTCCCTCCATCTCCAGCACCTTCACTCCCTGGAGCCATTCCTCCTCCTCCTCCCCTCCCTGGTGCAGGAATAATTCCTCCTCCTCCTCCCCTGCCTGGTGCATCAACAATTCCCCCACCACCTCCCCTGCCTGGTGCATCAATAATTCCTCCTCCCCTACCTGGTTCATCAACGATTCCCCCACCACCTCCCCTACCTGGTTCATCAACAATTCCCCCACCACCTCCCCTACCTGGTTCATCAACAATTCCCCCACCTCCTCCCCTGCCATCTGTAGGATCGGTGATTCCTCCCCCCCCTCCACTCCCTGGTTCCTCAGTTCCCCCACCAGCTCCTCCTCTGCCTGGTGCACCCATCCCAGCCCCCCCTCCTCTGCCCGGTGTGCCCCCAGCACCTCCTCTGCCAGGTGGGGGATCAGGGCCTCCCCCTCCTCCTCCTCTGCCTGGGGGAGCCATCCCTCCACCCCCACCTTTGGGGGGGCCCCCGATGCCTCCCCCTCTGGGGGGGGTTCCCTTTGCTCCCTTCCCCGTGGTGCCAGCATTGCCTCATGGCATGAAGGAGAAGAAGAAGTACAAGCTGGAGGTCTCAATGAAGAGAATCAACTGGTCCAAGGTATGGCAGGAGGTGTGGGGTGATGTTCCTTCCTTCCTCTCCTTCACAGATACTCTTGGTCTGTGTAGTGATGGATTTTTAATTGGGATTCATCTTGGCACAACTCGTTGTATCAATATCCCAGGAAGCCAAGTGACTTCCAGTGCATTCTATCAGCTGCAGTGAACATCAAGTGCAGCTTTGCATCAAGTTGTATATAAATAAATATTTATCTCCAAACTGTTTTAAAGCAGCTTTCACACATCCCTAGCAAAACAAACCAACTTAAGCTTTTTAAATTCCTTGTGCTTAATGTAGCTGCGAGCTCATAGATTGGTGATAGCAGGCCCTAATGTGACTTGCTGATTATTTATCCCAGATATTTATTGGTTGTTCTCAATTAGTGATATGCTGGAGCAGGGCTGTGGCCACTGGGAGGAGCCATGGGACTGCTCAAGGGAAAGGTTTGGGCACCATGAGCTTCTAGTGTCTTAACATGGTTGTATTTAATCACATTTCATTTTAAAAATCATCTTAAAAATATCAACATTACTGGAGCAGTAAAGTGCAAGCACAATCTGGTTTGCAAGTGAAGCCTTTAAGCAGTTCCCAGTTATTAATTGCCTCTCAGTAGATGCAGTCCCTCTCTAACAGCAGCAGTTATGCAAACATCCAGGTGTGTGCTGGGCTGGGTTGTTTTAAATCCCCTTTCTGATCAGTGTAGCCACTGCTCCTCCCATCTAAAGAAAATAAATGTGGGATATTAGATAATTGCATCTGTTATCAAAACTAAATCCTTCCATTTGGAAGTTGTGGTTGGCAGTTTTTTAGTGGTATAAAATATGACAGATATGTAGATGTTTGTAGGAAAAAGTACCAAAATCACCAAATCATCAAGGCAAATGAAAGGAGGATTTTTACCTATTCCAGGCTGGTTCCTCTAAATTCTGAGTTGTCAAAAGGCTCTTTCTTTGAGGCAACAAAACAGCAGAATAGTCCCACCAGTCTTGGAGGAGGAATCCAGAAGGTTGAGAGAGAGCCTGTGTGGAAATGCATTGCATGCCAATTTATAGTTTATTTTGGCAGAAGAATTAATGCTTCAATGATTTCAAATTATTTCAAAATATTTGGAGATGCACTAAAATAATTTGCAAGTGTATCTAGCATGGTAGTTTCAAAACAGGCTTTCAATATATTAAACTAAAGTGATATAAAACAGCCAGACATGTTTTTAGAATATTAATTTAAATAAATTTTAAAATCAGTTTGGAAATCTTTACTGTTCCTGTAGTTCTTATAAAATAATCTGCATCAAAGGATAAGTGCTAACTTTCCTTCATTTGGGAGGAGGAATTAAGTGTTTTGGGTAGAGAGGAGTGAATGAGGATGCATTGCTGGAGTTTGGTAACTGTGGGACATAGACTGCTGTCCTGTAAACACAGAGAAAAGGAAGCTTTTATTTTATAATACACATTGGTAATTGCTTTAATTTCGTTGTGCTCAGTTGCATTGGGGAGTTGATAGGAATCATTTCTGCAGTGTGTGTGAGCACTGGTGTGACAATGGGAAGGAGCTGCAGATGGACGCTTTGCTTAAGTGCTCTGGGAACGGTGCCAGGGATCTCCTGCCTACTGAGAAAGTGCAAAGTCTGTTTGATCATCACTTTTAAGGAGCCATCATTTGAGAAATAAAATTCCTACTGTTTAATTTAGTCCCTTTTGCTGTAGCTGTCTTTCCCATTAGTGTTGGATTAAGGCAGTTTTTTAAGATGTCTTCCCTGGAGCTGCTGCTAAAGCAGGGCTGGAAGGTGGAGGACCAGGGAGTTGCAGGGAAATTGGAGTGAGGATGACAAATTCAGTGTTGCCAAATTCTCTGCGTGTCGTCTTGAAGCGATAGAGCCCTTGGAAATTACTTGGCATTTAAACCAACCTACAAACAATAATTAATAATGTGTTCAAAGCTGTCAGAGGAATATATTTTGTAAACAGAAGAGCAGTTCTGAGTCATACATGGAGACTCAAGTTGTCTTTCAGCTTCTGTATTGCAGAGCATTTTCTATCTTCAGTGTAGCCAGTAGAGAGCTCATCCTGAGTCTCAGTTCATTTCTGGTAAGTTGTTGCATACAGTTCTCATGGAAGCAGTGCTGAAGAGTTGGGGAATTCTCTAGAAAGTGATCAGGAGACAGCTGGAACACTTGAGAGGCCAGCTGCTGTTCCTTGGAGAGCTCAGTGCATGGGAGCAGTGCAATAAATGCATTGGTGTGCAGAGGGCAGCTCAGCTCGTGGTGCTTGTGCAGGGGGCAGCAGGGAGGGGACACCCAGGACAGGGCTGAGCTCCATCCAGCCCAGCTCTCACAGAATTCTGTAACATTTGTTTGAACCTGGCTGTTGAAAACATTCCTTCCTGACTCTGGAGATGCTGCTTTTCTTTCAGATCGAGCCCCAAGAAATAGGAGAAAACAGCTTTTGGGTAAAAGCTGAAGAAGATAAATTCGAAGACCCTGAGCTGTTTGCAAAATTGGCACTTACCTTTGGAACCCAAATGAAAGGTACATTCTTACTTGACTCTTTATTGTGCTTTTATTAAGTTTAAAACTGTGCAATGGCAGTTTCTTTTATGCTTTGTGCAATACCATAGAATTCATATGATGGTTTTATAGCAGGAAGATGATTTAAAACATATATTAAGCATAACAGTCTATTACATGAATTGCTTCCCCTTCACTTTACAGCATGAGGGGAGGAACTTTTTTGCAATAATACCTTTTAAAAGTGCACTGTATGTTGCAGACAGATGTGAGTTTTCTTCTAATGAAATTATAATTAAATTTAAATTCTGATCCTAAAATCATGTTTATTTGCATTATTATTCCTAGCTGAGAGCTTCTGGAATAGGAACAGCAGTTTTTATTAATACAGTGTTAAAAAAGATTAACTCGGGAAGGGCTCTCAGAGGACTGTAATGAACTATTTCTTCAGTAGTTTCCTTGAATTATTTCTGAATGGTTTTTTCTATGTTCTTTTGAAACCTCTTCAAAGAGTTGGTCATGGCTGTGTTTTTCATAAGACAGAGATTCATATTCCTTTCAGTAGTCAGTGAATTTAAACTATTAGAATTCTCCTTTTGCAGCACACCTTGGAAGCACTTTCTGGTCTAAATGTTCAGCTATTCCATGCAGTAATTCAAAATCACCTTTTGCAGTAATTTAACATTCTTTGCCATGCCCAAGTTGGATTGACTCTCAATTCCCAGCACTGCAGGGAGGGTAAAATGATGTGGAGTTGGTCTCTTCTTTTGGTGTGACAGGAAGACCTTTAAGGGAAAGAACACCCAGCAGCAGATGACAGAATGGCATGAGCCCCTTCTTTATGAAAAGGACAAGCTTCCGCCTCGAGCTCAATTCTTTCATCAGAAATCTGAAGGAATGTTTTGGAATTCCTGAAAAGCTTCTTCATTAAAAATGCTGAAAAAAAGCCTCTTGAAATGTTGACAGAGCTGACAGTTTCCAAAAAGAAGAAATTCTTGTTGACATAGTTGCACGGTTGTAAAACTAGGAGCAACAGAAACTCCTCAAATAGCTCAGTGTACTGATAGCCTTGCAGATATTTTTCCTTGTGTAGTTCTCAGTTAATGGTTGTAGAAAATAAGATGCCATAACAAAGGATGCACAGTAAAAATGCTGCTGCACAGTACTCAGGATTTGAAAATCTAACTTGGCTCTGCAGAAAGGCAAAGTTGTCCGAGTTCTAGGTTGTTTTTTTTAAACTTGAAAACCTACTGGAAGTCAGACTCTTGGAGCATTTAGTTGCAGCACAGACCCACAGAACTGCATGCCAGAAGCAGCTTTTTTCCTGCAGCTGCCATCTGCAAAGGGAAACATGGAATGATGTTCACTGTTCTTCCTCCTGTTTTACCTTAAGCAGCTCCACCATGTCCCAAATACTCATTTCAGGCATCATCTGTGAGCACATTTCCCTCTTGCTTTTGTCCCATTTCATGAAGTGGTCTCCAGGTACATTATAGGAGAGTGATAAAAAACCAAATAAAAATGCATGTGCTATTCTCTCAAGAGCACAGTCAGCATGTAAAACAAACAAAGGGATGAGTGGAAGCAAACTGACAATTGCCAAAAGCAGTTTGGATGACTTAGTGTTTACTGTCTCGTGTTCTGTGGAGTTTTGGAATGCCAGTGGGAATGGTAACTGAAGTAAAAGAAATGGTAGTGTAGACATGTATTGAAAATTTGTGATTCTGTGTGAGTTGCAGCACTGAAATTTTATTAAACCTCTGAATTTTATTCGTGGTTCTTTGGTGCAATGAGTAAAACGCTTGGTGAATTTTTGTCATTCAATGTAGTTTTGTTTTAGCATATTCCAGAAATGACTTGGTGTTGGCTATCACTGAGCTGTGAGCTGCCTTGCTGTTTGATTCTGTTTGTTTTAGAGAAATGCAGCCAGAGCTGAAGGGAAATGATAATTTTGGGGAGAAATATTGCCATGGAGTTGAACAGTAATTTTTGATTACTATATTATTCAGTGTGGTTATACATCTCAGGAAACCTGGGCTTTTTGATGGAGTTGGAGGTGTGTATGATTTAATTTTGTAAAATGTCTTTAAAACCTCCCAACAACTGAAATTAACAGTTGAAAATATGAGTGTTCTTGTCAAGAACCTACTGAAATCTTTGAGATCATGGAAGCAGGTCCTGTTATATCGAGCACTTTTACCAAACTTAAGGGAGAGCACCAGCAGCATGGTCATGTCCTCAGTGCCTGGTGGAATATGATGTCAAAAAGCTCCCATTCCATGTATGGAATGTTAAATCCCTGCAGAATTGAATACTCAAGTGTCTCCTGCCAGGTCCAGGTCCAGGCTGCAGTGCTGGGACTCTGCAGACAGGTTGTGACACATCCCCTGCTCAGGACTGTGACAATCCTCAGTGCTGGGCCTGCTGCTATCAAAATCGTTTCTCACTGTTTGATTGATGATCTAATTGCAAAACACTGCAAAGCAAGTTAATGCTTTCTCCCTAAAGGATCATGTTAATTTCTGGCTCTTGTAATTTAGGTTGTGTATTTTGCCAGTCAAGAATGATAGTGCTCTGAAGAAATTAATTATGTGTACAGTAGGTCTGTAAAGGTAGTAATTAGTACATAATAGTCTGTAACTACTGGGATTGTTCCAATACAGAATTCATTATCCATCCAACTTGCCTCAAGGGAAAACTTCTCCATCAGGGTTCTGTTGCTTTACAATTAGACTTCTAAAATATAATTCAACAATAATTTTCATATGTTTTCAAAACTGAAGTAAGGTCTTAATAGCTGAGTTTTCACATGATGGGAATTTGATTGGGAAGGGACAAGAGCCAAGAGCACAACTACCATGTAAGCTGTGATTGAACAAAACATGAACAAAATGTTCAGGGTTTTATATGTATAATGTATATAATGTATAGAACGTGTACATAAATAATAATGTGTATATAATATATAATAGGTCAGTGCACCATTAAACTTGAAGGAAAACTCTTTACCTTCATTTCCATTTGGGACTTGTAAATACAAAAAAGCAGCAATTAACATTTTAAAAAATGGCTTTGAGTTTTCTATGCTGAGAAGCCCAGATCGAATTCATCAGAGAACTTCAACATTTGCAAGCTTTCAGTGAATTCAGCTGTGGCCAGATTTCCTGGAAGCCAGCTGTATTTGTAGGTGTGTGAGGCACAAGGCTCAGTTTAAAGCACAAATCTCTGCTGTTAAAGCCCAGCTGTGTTGCTCTAGCTCAGCTTTCTACGCTGCTTTGTCGACAGAAAAGCAAGAAAATGCTCTGAACTCAACATGAATTTGCTTCAGGATTGCAAACTGCAGGTGGCTCCCTTGGTCTGCTGATTCTTCAGGCTGTGTTGGTTTGGTTCCTTTCCCTCCTCAGCCTGTCCTTTGCAGAAGGGTGGGAATCCAAAGCAGAGCAGGATCAGCTTTGCAGTGCAGGGTCAGCAGGTGCTGTTGGCAGAGGAATTTCATTTCCTTCAATTGCACACGTAGGTCATCAGTCATCATATCTGTTTCACACAGAAGTGCAGCAGATTGGTTTGTTTTCAGCTTTGGATGTATTTGAACTTGTTGTTTTTCAGCAACAGAATAAATTCAAGTACCACAAAGGAGGAGTGAGTTATTAGTTTACTGTTTTTCACTTTCCTTTTCTTCTCTATTGGATTTATCCAATAGATAAACTCTCAAACTCAAGGGTGAAAAAAGGTTTGCATGGTTTGAATAAACTGCTGCTTGAAATTATTATCATCTAGCATAGATTTACATATGTATCTCTGTGTTTTGATGTATTTCATATATTTTAATTCTGAAATGATAGTTACTTTAGACTCCAAGTCTTATTTCATTCCTCATGGGACAAAAGGACTGATATGAGTATAGTGTTCAGAAGGGTCTAAAACAAAGCAAAAGTTCCAATTAGGAGGTAAAGATTGTAAATATTTTTAATATTTTATTTCAAATAGCATTTTAATGTGTTCACCTTTCAATAACTAAATTTCTATGTCAAAGGAACGTGCTGTGTGAAATGCACATCCTGTTGGTGTGACCTGCTCACTGTACTTGTTTCCATCATGTGACAGTGAATGAAGAATATCCCACGTGAACAAATAAAATCTATTAAGACTTTTTCAGAAGTTAGGCTCAGTGTCAGTTGTGCTATTTTTGTCTGTCTTCTTTTCCTGTTAAATCTTACATAAATAACACTTTGAGAATGTTCATGCTTTAGGGTTGGACAGAGGCAGGAATTTCACTGCAGATCTGGGGCTGTGGCACACTCTGATTGTCTCTCTTTGGATTCTGCTTTTAAATCTTTGTGGAAGGTTCATAAGGGGGAAAAGTCAAGGGGGATGGGTCAGATGGATGAAATTTTCCTCTCTCCAGTTTGCTGTTCCTGGAGCTTGCTTGCTTTGCATCTGCAGCAGAGTTTGTATTTTTTCAGAGCATTGTTGTTCCATAAGAGATTTCTGATAGAAAAGTTTGGACATTATCCTAATCAGCATTACATAAATGATTGCAATAACTGCACCTTCAGAAAATCAAATCCAAGCAGCCTGTGTGTGAATTCAATTGCATTCAGATTCAGAGACAGGTGGGAAATGGTTGGAGGTCTGGATTCTTTGAAGGCTGCTGTCATTATTCATGCATTGCTTGGAGGTACAGCATAATGTATTTCACACAATTCCTGTGGAAATGGAGCTCGTTTTCAGAGTCAGCACTGTCTGTTCTGAATCCAGGTCAGATGCTCCATGTGGAGGCCATTCCCTCAGTTCTGGTTTCATTTGCAGTGCTGAACCCTTCTGGACATCACTGGGACAGGGCAGAGCTCCCTGCTGGAGACTGAGGAGCAGGGTCTGAAATGAGGAATCCTGCTGGATGACTGGAGTACTTCTCCACTGATTATCTAGTAGACACAGCATATTATATAGATATAATATTATAAATATTCTATAATATTTTTAAACTGATGATCTACCTGCCTTTTCAGTGCCCCATGGTA